GGATCGCTGATCACTGGAACTGGTGTGCCACTCCATAGTAGTAGTTCAATATCGGTCAGTCTTGAAAATTGCCACTGATAAGGGCTCTCTATTGGGCTCATAAATATGCCGTGGGGAAATTTTGTTGACAATCTCTCCTAACAATAGTTATGTAAACAAAAGTTAGTCCGCGATCACCAGCTGCTGACTGTTTTCAGCACCTGACAACGTCTAAGATTAAGTTATTTTGAATACGTCTATAGCGATTATTTATTGTCACTGTTACTTGGCCAAAGTTTTGCGGAAAAAATCTCTCCCAGACTATGACTCATCCATTGTCTTTTCCCAGCGCTTTCAAAAATGGTTATAATCAATTTTTCAAGACACTGTTGGGCTTTTACCCTTCTTCCTATTTTCTGTTTTGATGAATTGACATAGTTTAAGATGACAATGTTTTAAATAAATTTTGTGTTTGTATACTTAAAGTGCCGTCGAAGTGTTCAAGACATTTGTTTGCAAAAAGAAATATAAACCTCTTCTCTGCCTCTTCGGACTCAAAAACAAATTATTTCGTTAATTTGCTCTCTTAAACTGTTTTGTGCAACATAATTTTAAAATCTATATCAGCAAGGCGTTAAGTAAGTTAGAAAACAATTAGGAAATCCATTTTCTGTTGTTAAAATTGTTATATTATTTAAAAAATGATTTTAAATGGTTCTTAACAGTTTTTTTTCTTTTTCTAATAGATATTTATTGGTTGGCATTCTAAACAATTTCTCTGGAATCATTACAAAAGCTTCAGTGTATATTTTCTCTTACCCAAAATAGGAAGAAATATTTATTTGCGCTTTTAGTATTCTAAAATGTTTCAATTTTTTTAGATTTGATCGCAGTTTTTCGGTTGCTTTACTCAAAACTGTGACTTTTTCGCTGTGACAGCATCACTGCGTTCGACGTTCTCTGTATAATTTGCTTTCTTTGACCACCGCCACCGGACATACTTTGTGTTCGTGTTAAATTTATTTTTTTTTTTTTTTTTTGTGGTCGGGGATCCCCGTTTGTTTTGGGGGAAGCCCGCTGCAAATGTGCTTTAGTCGGAGTGCCGAGATTGGAAAGATAGACAAATTAACAGCATTTTATTTTCCGTCGTCGATTTATGGCGAACAAACACATTTCATCTTAATCTAAATTTGTTTTTGTTTTTTGTATCTGCGAGAGAGTGTGCACACTGGTTTTTCGGGTCGAAATTTTGGGGGGAGCACCGCCAGATGCGTTCTGGCGCCTCCGTTAAAAGAAGTCCAAATCACCGAGCTCATTTTCTCAACCTGTATTATTTGCTGTTTATACCTGCGGCAAGGTAAACACGCAGACAACACCCCCCTGCCCGAGGAACTGAAAATTTATTACACTTCAAAACGGGGAAATTTCTCAAACGCTCTTGGAAATTGTTGAATTGTTTTAGCAGCAAAATAGTTGTGGCGGTACTTACCACAAGTTGTGGCCAGCTGTTGTTGCTCGAAATGCTCCGAGTCCGTGAGGATTGCTGGGGGTTTTGTCGAGGGAATGGAGACGGATCCAGACGCTTTGTCGCCCATGTTGCGTGCCAATGTCTTTGTAGCCAACTGAACTGAAGTCCGAACCCATCGAACAGAACTCAACCATTTCGGTCTGCAGCCAACAGGTGCCTTTGATTAGGTCTTGTAATCTCGAGTTGCTCTTCCTTTTTTCGGGGGGCGTGAGAGCTCCTCCACTTAGAACTTTTAATGAACACATAATCCACTCTCGGGTCGAAAAAATAGGTATTTAGTTTCAATTTTTTTTTTCTAAGCGCAGAATATTTGTTTTGTCTTATTGTTCGTGCACGTCATTTTCAAGGCACACATCTGGATACAACACAAATAATTAAAGATATTTTAAGTCCGGAGGTATGCGATTCAACAAAAATAACTGATGAGTTTTTATTCAAAAATGTTAATATCCTAAAAAATTTTCCTGCCAGATAATTGTTTTTCAAGATCTGAAATAAATAAATAAAGAAAATGTTAGTAGAAATAATCTGTTTGGCACATTTTCTTTTCCTTGGTGTTACTTTTGTTGTTTGTGTTACGAAAATTAATATCATTAAGATGTAAACGATAGTTTATAATAATTTTTTATATTTTTAAAATCAAGTAAAGTGAGTTTAAGAAGTGGCTATAATAATCTTTGTAGATCCCCCACCATTTCAGGGACCAACTCCCCCAGTTAGAGCATTGCCCGTTCGACTTTGTGAGGCTATTAATGCTGACCATTGTGTTCATAATTTACCATTCGACCCGCTAATCGCACATCTTATCAGGGTATTAAGTGTTGCTCACTAACTACGCCTTGGCACGCTCTCACGATGAAAAATGCTGAGGGGGCAAAAATCACACGCAAAATCACAGGCCTTCTTTCATTCACTTCCTTCCCCGGCGCGGGGTATTCACCGAGGTAAACATTATCGGGCCAGAAGCTTTACACTCTCGCACATTAGACAAATAAACGGGTGTCTCTGCTGGTGTGTGTACTACAATTAAGAAAAGTAATTGTACTCGATGGGGATTCCCTGGGGCCTCAATGAAAACTCTTTGATGGGTAAGCCGTGCAAAAAACAAGGGAAGGGGTTACACCATTAAAATTTCAACAAAATGTACCCATCCTAGACAATTACACCACAAACTTAAGACTTTCTAACACCGCGTTTCTGGCAGAAAAGTTATGTCCTTAGAAGTACTGATTTTGTGTCACTTTTCTGCAAAATAATTTTTTAGGGAAAGTGGAAAATGAAATGGAAAATCATTAAAATATGTGTTTAGTCAGACACATCGAATAAAATGGAATAATTTCGGTTGGATACAGTAGTTTGGTCGTATCAGCTCTCAATATTTCAATTCCACTATCAGAATAATCTCAATCGTTATAAATTGGTCCCAAGTCAAGTGAATATCAGGCAATAATGTGAAGTAGTAATTTATTGATTTGAAGGCAAGGGCTGCTTTTTCAATGGCTGATGAAAGGCAAGTACCATGGTAGATAGAGGGGTTTTTTTTTTTTTATTTAAAGTTGCTTAATCGAAAAAACTGACCTTTGTTTTGGCCAATACCTTAATAGTTAAACTCTTCCAAATGACTTACTCTGTGGCAAAACTCAAAACAAAACTTTTCTAGAAATTCTACTATTTGTTGTGTTTATTATCAGCAGATATGAAGCTAAATATCTCTTTTACATCGTGAAATCTCATTAAGTTGTATGCCAACACCACCAATTGAAACATTCGGCATGGCGAACAATTCATCAGATGTCGCCATATCATTGTCTGTACTGATTAGTTACGCCTTGCTGGCTGGCAGGCAAAATCCCCCCCAGAAAAAAGGAGGAGGAATGGCGATGGGTGCTGGTATCCTTGTAGCGGCACGCACATGCCATATATTAGGACGCATAAAATGACAAACGACTCGCGAGGCGCGTAAATTGAAAACGCGCTGAGCCTGTGCGAGATTGCCTGCGGAAAAGGGATGGATGGTGGGGCTACCAGGGCGGTGGGGAGGGGAGGAATTGGGTGGCGGGTAGTATGGATTTTGGCGACTTTTTGCCTGTTTGTTATTGCTGCCTGAGCTGCCTGAGCTGCCTCACTCTCGCACTTTCTGGCACTGGCTGTCGGCCAAAACTTTGCCAAAGTATTCAAATTAAAATTTCAATTAAGGAAGTGAATTTGTGTGTGCCGAAAGTGTATTAAGTTTATATGGCGGTGGCATCTTGGCATTTCACTGCTGCTGTACTCCACGTGTGCCTCGTGCGCCACGCCCCCACAGTCGCCCACTTAGATATGCCGCAAAGGAGGCCGAAATTGAACCAAACCAAACCGAAACCTAACCGAACTGAACAGATCCCACTCAGCTGAAGCTTCGTCGTCGCCCGTTGTTTGATTTATTGCCAAAGTTTGTCGTCTGTCACATGACATAAGGAGTACTTTGTTGGAATATTTTACATTTTACGCGCCCCCAGCACCGCACACACCGTTCCCGCTGACATTTTCCATTGAATTGGCAATGAGTACGAAAGCCGCTCTGATCGGCCTCTGTGGGCATTATTAATAATGCAATCAATTTGTAAACAATTTGGCATATATCAATGCGCTTCGTGCTGGCCATAAATCTTTGGGAAATTAGCTCAGTCACTTGCGCCCCTTCTGCGATGAACTTTGGCACTTAAAAATATTAAAAGCTAGTGTTTTGAACAGGAAAAGTTGGTAGGTTTGGTAGGTGGGACATAAGAGATTATACATTCTTTGACATTTCTTTCGAAGATTGCTAGAATGTTTTACTATTTATCATCAGGAAAATAATACTAATCATAATAATAATTTCCATAAGCATACTTAATGGTGAGGATTTTTGAAATGCTTTTCCAGTTTTTACTTGTGAATTACGTTAATGGCTTATGATTTCAAGGAAGGCTTTATAATTGTTAGTTTATTTGTTTATCATATAGTTGTCATGGTTGGTTAACCACAAATTGGAAAAATTGCAGACAAAGAGTAAACAATTTTTAAATTGTTATTTATTACAATCTACTCTATACCGTTGGGACTTTCCCTGGTATATTTTTTGCGAGTGTGGTCATTTGCATGCCAGCCCCTCTGACAGATTGCTGGGCTGCCCTCTTGATGGATTGGCGGCTGGTTCTGGCCTGGAAATTTTCCGGGAGCAGGCATTCCGGGAGTGTGGACAGGGCCGCTGCCAACAGATTTTGCCATATTTCTGCGTTTTGGCTGCTCCAGTAGCTGCTGCTGCTGCTGCTGCTGCCGCTTTGGCAGTTAGTGACAGCTGCGGCGATGGCTGCAGTTTGGGGGAAAAAACCAAAAATGGAGAGCCCGGGAAACCATAACGCATGTCCGGTTTGCAGCCATGCATATCCCAAAAACCGGCATGAGGACAGAGGCTCGAGCCTTTGACCGGCGAAAGAATGAAATTCGTTTGGTGCTGTTTGCCCAAACTTTCAAAATTCAATGGTCAGAGTAGGCAGTACACAACGGCGAGTCAACAGAATAGTGAAATGCCACTCGTACAGTAAACTTTCAGCTCTCAAAGTCCTGTATCTCCGGCGTGGCATATATCTGCTTTACAGAGGTAAGTTCAGAGTTGGATCTGCTCGGGCTAATTGAATGAAGTTCCCCCTGAAGTATGTGTCCAGCTGAGATTCTTCGTCCGCGGAAGAGAAATGGCAAATGGAAGTTGGTCATCCTCCACCACCCAGCCTTTGTTCCATTTTCCTTGGCTTGTGTTGGCTTGCGTTGGCTTGCCTTGGCCCCAATTTAAAAGTTTATGAACTTGTCAGCCAACTGGCTGACTGGCTTCACTCCGACCCCATTCTAAAACCCCTCTTTTGTTTGTTTGTGTGCTTGCAGGAGGCAGGAGGAGGATCCAAGGAGCAAGGATGTCGGGGCGCCTCAACCAGCAGCACGCGGCGTACGCGCAACGCATGGAGCAGGAGAACAACCGGGTGCAGGCCACCCAGGCGGTGAACCGCTACTACAGCCACTGGGGTAAGGTGACCTCGCGCTTCCAAAACTGGACCAACAAGGAGTACTACGAGAAGGCCGACCAGCAGCTCCAGTCACGCCGCAACCACCACGAGAAGCAGGTGGCCCTCGCCGAGCGGCAGGCGAGGCTGCGCCAGCTCTTGACCGCCGAGAGCGAGGCTTACGACGGCGAGATGGAGCGACGGCGCCGGCCGCGGGAGCCCGGTGGCGGTGACCTCCAGATGCTGGGCCGCGTCAACCAGTCGCTCAAGGAACAGGAGCACCTGCGTCGCAAACTGGAAATGGAGGCCAAGCTCTACGGCCGCTGGCGGCATGGCGTCGACGACGAGAAGCTGCTCTACCAGTCCAAGTCGGACAACGAGGTGCTGGCCAAGCTCAACTGGCTGGACCGCCAGATCGAGAGTCAGCAGCAGCGCGAGCAGCAGCAGGCCCTGGCCGCCGAGCGGCAGCTCCAGCTGCAGCAGGAGATCAGTCGCACGGAGCAGGCCCAGAAGGAGCGCCAGCAGATCCGGGAGCAGCAGCTCCGCGAGCTGCGTGCCCTGCAGGAGTCCCACATGGCGGAGCTTCGACTGCGGCAGCAGGAGGCGGACAAGCTGAAGGAGGAGGAGCAGCACTTCCAGCTCTTCCTGGCCGAACTGGACAAGGAGCGGGAGCTGCTCGAGGAGAGCAGTGCTCTGGTGCTGAAGCCCGTCGACTCCGGCCACGCCTTTAACCTCAAGAAGATCAAGGTGTTCATCCGGCAGCGCAGTGAGGCCAGTCGCAAGCAGATCTCGCTCTGCATCAACATGCTGCAGCGCATGGCCAAGTACGTGGTCAAGGCAGAGGAGCTGCAGACCCTGCTGGAGAAGTACCGCTCACAGCTGGAGCACGAGGAGCTGGCCTGCGCCCAGATCGAGTCCATGTACGAGTCGGAGGCCAAGTACAACCTGCAGCGCTGCGAGGAGAACTGGCGCGAGCAGCACCTGCAGCGCTACGGCGAGCTGAGCAAGCTCATCGACCAGGAGCGGGATTGCCTCGGCGGCCTGCTGAAGGAGAACGTCAGCCAGCAGCAGGCTCTGGTGGAGCTAAGGAGCCAGCACCTTACCGGCATTGAGCAGGTCAACAAGCAGCTGGAACAGCTCAGTCAGGAGCAGACTGAAGTGGCTGAAGTGGCTGTGCCGTCGGCTAGCAATCCCAGGGAGGTGGAATCAGAGGCTTCCCCTTCGGGAGCTTCGGCTCCGGATGAGGACCTCCCGCCCAAGGTCAGCGACTCCTTCTCCAATCTCAATCTGGATGTGTGGCAGGATCTGCCTCCGGCCCGCGGAGAAGTCGACCTGCAGCGTGTCGACAAATCGCGGTCCCTCAATGTGGTCACCTCGCAGACGGCTGCTCCTCCGAAGTTCGCCCGCAAACGTGTGGCCTGGACCTAGCATTACCACACTATATATCATGTCGTTCCAGCTTAAATTTCAATGGTATTATTAGACTTACTGTTAGTTTAATCCGTGTTTAGCCATAGTTGCAACCCCTCGCACACACTCCACTCCCACTCACACTCACACACCACCCCAATGAACAATGAAAGCTCGAACACCACTCTGTGCACTTGTAGTTGATAAGGCTGATAGATAGGCGCTCCCCCAAAGGTGGGCCAATAAATCACTCAATTTGTGGGCCAGCAGGAAGTGCGTCCTTAATTATTGTCAAGTGAAAGTCGAGGAGGAATCAAGTTGGAAGGACGGCAGGTGGAGCTGAAGATATACGAGTATATCGAGCATGTGCGGTACACACACTCTGAATAATACATTTATCTGGTAAGTTGTAACATAGCAGGCTGGAAATGGTTGGATTTGTGTTTCAATAACCCCGCAAACAATTTACATGTAACGCATCTAACGCGTTTTGCATTTGATCGAAACTAATTAATATTGTAGGTTCTGGCAAATCTCTGAACATTTTCGGGTGGCAAAGCTCAATAACCCATTTATATGGCAAGTAAAATCAGGTTGTGTTCCATAAGTCCATCAGCAATGTTTTGTCCAGTTCCGAAGAAGCTAGCGAACACAAGTGTGTAATGAAGTTGTCAAGTCCAAAGTGTTTGAATTTAGAATGGTTTAATTATGGCAGACACAATTTCAATTTGCATTCAATCGAAATAAATATTTGTCGGTTCTGGCAAATCTCTCTTGAGCAATGGATGCCAGAGTAATATTGCTACATATATGCAGTAGCAGGCATTATTTAGTGCACGTTATTCATCACCTATGTGAATAGATTGCCGCTACTCCCCCAGTTCCCATTACATCTGCCGTAAGCTGCTTCTAATGGACAAAATGCTCGCAAATGATGATGAATACGTTTCAATTACTCCACTCGAACTCTCCATCATCAGAATCAGCATCAGCATCACAATCGGAAGCAGAAATATTATTTTGTGTGCCAGCTTTGGAGAAGTATGGTATTCCGATATCATTTGATTGCTACCTGAGCAAGATGCCAAGGAGAATGGAGGCGTGGCTGAAAGGTCTGTATATTTTGTGAAATATTACAAATTATTATCTGCAGTTATTTCGGCCAAAGTCGAGCGGAAGAACCGGCATTGCAGTCGATTTGGTGGTAATAAAAGCCAGTTGTAACCAGATATGCATGCGCTCGATGAACCCACATGAAAAGAGGTATGCATGCATGCCACATATAGCAAAACATGCCAAGCGCATCGCATAGCAGCGCTTTTGATTAAATTTCTTTGAGTGTTTGGGGCACAAAATGCAATTTCATTTGCACTAATGGCTGGCGTCGCAGTCGACGTCTCTGCCGGCTGCATTTCCGCTGTCAGCAACAATGCTGCAGCGGCGCGGCAGAGGAAAACTGGGCGAAAAACTGCAAAGAAGAGCGAAAAAACAACAAAACGAGCGAGAAAAAAACGAGATTGTTAAATTGAATTAAAACCAACAGCGCAGTGGGTGGGTGGGTTATGGCTGCCAGCGCCGGCCAAGCGGAAGGTATATCATGAGGAGAAGAGTTGCATGCCGTTCCTCCAAAAGCGCCAGCACACCATCAGCGGAAAACCCTTTTGCTCCCCACAACCCTCTTCCATTCCCCCCATTCCCCCGACTCCTCCACTTCTCCACTGGCATCCGTCTTTAATGGTGTTACTGCAACGGGAGGCTGCCATTACCAACTCTTGGGGCCATCTGCACAAGGTTTGTTCAAGCAATAAACGAAATTTGAAGGCTTGTTCAGCTGCACCACCGCCCACTCAAGCACCAGCCCAATCCCTCATCCCCCCAACTCTTTCCCCAGCAGCCCCACAATAGATTACAATGTTTGCCGGGCGGAAAAAAAGCTATTATTTTTTGCAGGACTTAAAAAAGCACAATAGCAAGGTTCAACATTCAATTGTTATAAATTGAAAACAATTACGTTAAAAGTTGTGAAACCAAGACATGAGAAAGATTTTGGAAAGCTGGCCTTCATATATTCTTGAAGCTGTTTCCGGAAGTGAAGCCAATCATTTTGAAAACAAGAAGTGGAAAATAGATTAAAGAAAAGTACAGTTTTTTAATACTCGACTTTTATTTTCTGTTCGTTTAATTATTTGTTTATGTTTAATGACCATTAACAAGTTAATTCTGATGCTAATTAATAATAAAAAACAAATTAAGCTAAATCTATCTTTTACAATATAAATGCCATGCTATTTTATTGAATTAAAGCATCGAAAAATAGTCAGATGTGCTTTAAAAATAAATAATAACAAATCAATTGAACTAAAAAAAAGTCACCTTATCAAGCGAGGAAAAACTACTTATTGAAAATGAATAATGACATATGGAACTTGTAAATATGTTTCATGTAAATTTAATGCCATTTAATAGTAAGCGGCAATTATCATAAAATAATAACCGCTGTTATGTAAGCATAATTAAACAAACGCAAATTTCGTTATGTATTAAATTCATAGTTCGTTGTGTCAAACCGTCAGACATTCATTTGATCTGTCAGTCAGCCTGTCATCTGCCCTGAATCGCATTTTCTGCAATCACGTTATTTGCTTGGCAGTTGAGTGTGTTTTGGCTAGGCAACTAGGTAGGTGGCTTTCCGGCTACACAGCTACACCCTCGTGGAAATGTGCGTGGAAATTCGAGGCAAATTTCCGCATCAAAGAGTTTGGCGTGCTCTGGATTTTGTGGCAACGTGTTGCCGTCAGCGGATTACTGAATGATTACAACAGGTGCGGACTGACTGGGCAACACAACCTTTCCTCGCTGGGTGGCATAATCTGTCAGCCGACTGTCCCTTAAACAAGATTAACTGTGGAAGTGGCTGCGGAGGTGGATGAGGTGGAGGCTGGCAGGGAGCAATCGGGCCGTAAGTAAGCAATAATGCGATGAAGTCAAGGCGTGTGTCACGTCTGCCACATCCACATCCACACAACCGGAGACTCAGGACTCTGGACTCAGAGCCAGAAGCAGACCCAGACGCAGACGTATAGGGCCTTTTCATCCGGGTGACATTTACGTCAACAATTCTGCAAACAATTGGCAAATGTGGCCATAAAAGCATGACAGTTGTCACTGTCGCCGTCGCTGTCCTTAACACCCAACCGCCACTCTCTTAACCCCCGGCTGCCTCTACTACTTTGAAATGCACAAAGCGGAAAAGGAAACGGATGCGGAAATACATGTATGCGTGATGTTGCTGCTGCTGCTCTTGCTGCTGCAACTGGTTGTAGTTGCTGCCAGTCTATCTGTCCGCCTGTCTATTTGTCCCACTGTGCGAGTGATGGTTGAGCCAAAAGCCATCATGTCGCCAACAGACTAAGCCCAGCCAGGCCACACATAATGTTGGCTAAGCCTTCAGTCAATTGCATTCAAATAAGCAACCAAAGGGGCTCTGCGTGGCTACTGGATGGCTGCTGGGGAAAATTGTTGGAAAATGCGCTCTCCTGGCCTCCGTTTACATATGCAGAGCTTTCAGCTTTTAGCTGGCAGTTCAGGCACTCAGGAATGTTCAATTTCACCCATGGCCAGTCTGGGGCATCATTCCATGTATCACTTTATGTCCGTGGTTGGGCATTGAGTTTAAAGTTTAAACAACGTTTGTATTATCTGTGCCAGGACTCCGATGCCGTGGATGCCAGGGCACACTTTAATCCCAATCCCAACCGCCAACAGTTTGCTTCATTACTCTTCAAACCCCAAACATCCTCTGCCCACCATACAGTTTCACTGTTTTTAAGCATGCAAAAAATGCTGCGTAAATATGCCAACGGAAAAATTAAAAAACAAAAAAAAAACCGAAAAGAAAGGAAAAACAACAGCAGCAGCCACAACAATATCAGCAGCAGCAGTAGCAGCAGCAGCGGTGGCCGTGTGAGCCACAGCAGCAACAACATTGATGCTCAAATCGGTTCTTGTTGTTGTTGTTGTTACATGCCTGCCATTACACACATATACATATGTAATTCAGTTTCAGTTTCATAACTAAAAAACCATAAAACAAAATTGTGTACATACCGCCCGCCCGAACTACCAGTCCCACAGCTGAGTGAGCCACTGAGTGAGCGATCCCGAAACCAAAGCAATCCTCGCGCCAACCACCCACGCAGCCAGCCATAAAACCACCCACCCAAAAGCACACAGCGGAAAACATTTCGAATAGAGATATAAATGTGGAATAAGCAATTGCAAATCGCACAAGAAAAACTACATGCATACGCAGTGGTTATTTTATGGTTTCGGTTCATGGTTAATTGGTTTTCTTCTGTTAATGGTTTTAACTTAATTCATTTTTTCTAGACATTATTATATTTTAAAGTTTGTTTTCTAATTAAAACGATTTAAAAATTAAAATTTGGTTAAAGTTAAAATTTAAAAATTAATTACAAAATGTGTCTATTTATTTTTAAAATGTTTATGAAACAAATAATCGTCTTAACAAGTTAAATATGCCTTTCGAATTTGGCGTTCTTTGCAGTGCTCCCAACCGCCTACAGCAAAACAAACAGAGGTTGAAGAGCAGCATGGCAGAGTGGGGATAATCAAAAGCCCCAACTGAGCGAGTACAGTGGAGATTAGCTAAATGAAAAGCCCTCGAAAGGCAGCTCATGCGCGTGCAAAGAGGACGCAAGTTTTTGCTGCGACCAAACTTCCCCGCAGCCACAAAAGGCAAACGAGAATGCAACATTCACAATGGCAAAAGTTCAGGGTTTGGCCATGACGACTCCCATAATACCCAAGACACACAGGAAAATGGGTATTACTTTCGTATAAAAATTTAAGACTTGCTTTAAGAAATTTGGTGTCAGTGTAATATGAATAAGCTATCCTCTGACAAACAAGTCACGCATGATTATGCTCGAAGGGCGATTAAATCATTATGGGAAATTCCCCGGGGAAACAAGCGAAATGAAAACATCAATGTCGTTATCTTTATTGAATTATACTCAAGTATTTAACAACAAATTTACTATCTAATATTTATTTGTTATTGTTTCAAATTGTGTACTGCCAAAGGTGTGAAGGGCAATACAACATGAAAAGTAAAGTCACCAAAAAACCTTTAAAATGAACTCATAAATGTAATAATATTTTTTAAACACCAGCCAGACGTTGAAAAACCATAAAAAAATTATCTTGACAATTGTAGTTAAAGTAGTTAACTATTATGTAAGCAGAG